GCGGCAAGGGAGCTGATGGGATGCCACCGCGTCTGGTCAAGGATGCGCCTCCTGAGGCTATTGCTGCCTTGGCCAGCCTTCTGACTAGAATCGAGCATGAAGTGACTTTACCTTTTCAGGAACTGTTTAATCTTATTGCCCTCCTGGACAAGGAGGACGGAGGCCTGCGCCCTATTGCCCTCCTTAATTGTTGTTACGTGATTCTGTGTAGGATTCGCAAGCCTGTGATTGGAGCTTGGGATCACGAAGCCCACGGGTCCTGGGACAAGACTGTGGGCTCGTCGGCCGAACATGCGGGCTGGCTCGATGAACTGGAGACCGAGTTGGCTCTCCTAGGAGGTTTCTGTCTTGCCGGGGGCTTGCTTGATATGCGCAAGTTCTATGACCTGGTCTGTTTGCCTGACCTCGCCCAAGCTTCTCACGACCTCCACTATCCTCTCCGCCTCCTCGTCCTGGCCCTGGATGTGTATCTTGGGCCCAGGATGTTGACGCTCCAGCAGCAGGTCCACCCAGGACTTCTTCCTGGGGGTGGGATCTTGGCGGGGTGTGGCCAGGCGGTCTCCCAGGCCCGGTCGTATTTATATGAGCCTTTGGAGGCTACTAACAATTCGGCTCCAGGGCTCAGGCTTCGGGAATGGGTGGACGACATCTCTTTCCGCCTCCCTGGTTCGGAATATTCCATTGGCATTTCTTTTCCGATAGTCTTGCGTGCTCTTCTTCAGGGCCTTCGCAGACGTAAGTGTGTGCTAGCGCTCCCGAAGTGTTATTTGATGGCCTCCTCGGCCAGCCTCCGCCGCAAGCTAGCCGGCTGGGCGGAGGAAGCTGGGGGAGAAGCTCCTCAGCTAGGCCAGGCCACCGCGGCCCGAGATTTGGGCCACGACACGACCATGGGCGCCTCCAGGTCGGTCAAGGTTAGGAAAGCCCGATTTTTGAAGGGCAGGCGTGCGGCTCACAAGATTGCTGGTCTAGTTAGGACCTCTCCTAAGTCCTCGAAGCTGTACCTTTCCAACGCTTTTCCGAAAGCTGTCTGGGCCCCTGAAGTCCACGGGCTGGCCCCCAGCATGGTCAAGCAGCTCCGTGGACAGGCGCGGCTGAGCAGTAAGTGCCCGCAGAGAGGCTCTTGCGCCACCACGGCTATTCGAATCAGTCTGGGCTCTAGCCGTGACCCTGCTATAATGTACATCAGGCGTCTCGTCGGAGCTTGGTTCGCTAGAGTTTTTCGGTCCCCTGAGCTAGTTGCACGTATCGATGCGGTGTGGTCGGAATCTCTCGAGCGTGTGAAAAAAGGCTGGAATTTAGTTCGGGGGCCCCTAGGTGCTTTTCAAGCCTCAATTTTGGACCTCGGCTGGAGCTGCCCGTCGATCACGAGCTTGGTGGAGCCCAACGGTGACGAATGGGCCCTTCAAGATGCCGGCCTTGCTCCCCCCTCCTGCCTTCTTGATGCTTTCGAGGCCTCTGTGGAGGCTTCGATTTGGGAGCGAGCGGCGAAGCACCTTGATGGAGCTGGCTCTGAAGCTGGGGTCTGGTGGCAGCATGTAGTCTCCCTTGCCTCCAGGCTGGAAGCCGATGATAACCGCGCGATGGCGAGTATGGTCCGTCTCATTGCCTGTGGAGGCTATTGGACTGAGCAGCGTAGGTTCGAGGCAGGCTACCGCTCGGATCCGGACTGCCAGAGGTGCAAGGCGGCTCCGGAGACCAGCTCCCATAGATTTTGGAGCTGCCAGTGCAACACGTATGAGGAGGCTTGGGCTCTCCAAGTAGGCAGTCAGCCCCCCCCGCCCGAAGTCGTGGCCACCAACCAGCTGATCCCCGAAGCCCTCCAGGAGGTTGGTAGCTGCCCAGTGTTCTGGTGCCGTGGACTGGTCCCCCTTGCTTGGTTGGAGCTCCCTCCTCCTCCCTCGTCCAAGGACCATGTCTGGATTCGACGGCCTGAGGGCACGCACCTCCCTGGGGGCATTTATGGGGTCGATGGCTCAGGGGGCATTTGGTCAAAGAGCTCACTTCTTCGGCGGGTGTCTTGGGCCTTTGCACGCCTGGATCCTGAAGGTCTTGATGGCCTAGGTTGGGACTCGGGGTGCACCGGTGTGGTCGACAGCCCTAAGCAGTCTGTGCCGAGGGCCGAGTTGTGTGCTATTGTCGAGTGCGTTAGGGCTGTCGACCATTCAGCGGATCTTTTTATCTGGTGTGATCACATCAATCATGTTCGATCCCTCAGCAAAGGGAGACACCACTGTTTTAAATTAGAGCACGCGGATTTGTGGCATGAGCTGTATGCTCTCCTGCACGTGCGTTCAGGCAGTTTTGAGCTGCAGCATGTACCGTCCCACTTGGCCGAAGATGAGACTAAGTTTCAGAGGCTGGCTGCAGGTGCCCCCCCTGGGGCTATCTTCATCAACTCAGTAGCGGACGGCCTTGCGGACTCTAGGTGCGAGCTTTGCCAGATCGCCCCTGATGTTTGCAAGAGAGCTCTCGACCTCGTCGCCAAGGCTGAGTCGGTTCTTCTCCGCAATGCGAGTTTGTCAATTGCTGCTGCCTCATGTCCTCGTGTGCCGCTCCGAGAGGTCAAGCCCGTGCCAGTCCCTCCCGATGAGAGGCAGACTAAGAGGCGCGAGGCGGCAGCGGCAGCCTCCTCCCACCGTTTTCAGGCCATAGGTGCGGGCTGGCGTTGTCTCAGGTGTGGCAAGCTGGTCCTCTCCAGCAGCTCATCCGTCATGGCCTACCTGAGGACTGCCTGCCCCGCCCGCCCCCCCGGTCCCGCCCAAGAGCCTCCTGATGCAGAAGCTGGGGTTGAAGGCCAGGCCCCCTTTTTTCACCAGGGGGGGCGTGGCAAAAAGGCGGGGGGGTCTGGTGGAGGTGGAGGAAGGAGGCCAGGAGCTGTTGTGCTCTCGGATAAGTTTTTTAGGCTTCCGCCCATAGATGAGGCTCTTTTCAGGACTGTCTGTGGATCGCACCCGCCGAGGCGTCTTGAAGGCAGGGGATTTCTTGGCAAGATGCTTCACACCTCCCACGACTTGTGGGAGAAAGGCTCATATTGTTTTTGTAGTAAATGCGGACGGTACACGTCCTCTGCGAATCCTGGTTTTCTAACAGGTTTGTGTGAAGTCGACCAATATGGTCGACATGATCTTGTCAAGGCGCAGTACACTTCGCTGCAGCGCCTCAGGAAGGGATTGCCTCCCAGGTGCGGAATCAGCTCCTGGGGTGAAGGGTACAGTGGGCACAGTGCCCCTACACCCTCAACCTCCTCTTGCAGTGGGGGTGGTCGGATCTCTTCGTGATCCGTGTCTGTTTCACCAGGCGTTCAATCTCAGGTTTCCTGATGCTTGTGCTGCCTGCAGCTCCTAGCAAAAAATTCTCCTCCTCCTCCTCCTCCTCCTCCTCCTGCTCCTCCTCTTCCTCCTGCTCTCCTCCTCCTCCTCCTCCTCCCTCCTCCTCCTCCTCCTCCTCCTCCTCCTCCCCCTCCTCTCCTCCTCCTCATCCTATTCCTCCTCCTCCTCCTCCTCCTCCTCCTCCTCCTCCTCCTCCTCCTCCTACATCAGAGTTGAATGGATCTGCGTCGGACCGACGCCGGAGCATCGCATCGCGAAGGTCGACAGCACAACTACAGCGCGCGCCGCGCGAGGCCTCCAGGATTTGTTTCGTCAGAACTGTCCCAGCCCTCGTGGGGTTCGCGACTGGACCAGAAGTTGGGGGCCCGACCCTGGGAAGCACGACGGGGGGGGCGCCCATTCTCGATAGGGGTGCGCCCGAACAGCCCCCCTTGGGGGTTATCCTCATGTTGTTCCCAACGTACTTGAGGACCACAAGCCAAAAATAACCCCGAGCACCCCGAAAAGTATCCTGACAGCGTCTGCTCGACACGCTGGCAAAGCGCCGAACGAATATCGCCTCCCGGGGCCACACGCGTAAAAACCTGCAAAGTCGATACTTCCTTGCTGCTCGACGTCCTGTCTGGCGATCAAAACTACAGTGGATTGGAAGATCACAGCCCTTGGGGTGCATCCCAGTCTTCTGAGCGGCCAAACTTTTCGGGCGGAATTTGGGGATCGGGAGGGGAAAACCGGTTGCGAGAGAGAGTGCCGCGCGCCACGAGGACACGTCGGTGACAGAAGCTCGTCTGGAGCTCCGAACCCTTCGCAAAGAACGAAACATCCTGCGCCTCCAAATATCCTAGAAACGCTGGTGTCAGGTGTCTGGAACAGAACTGCCCCTGAAGCACTCTGCGTCTCGAAACCATCGGGACGGATGTTCTCCCTCCTGCCTCTCGGGGCCCTGGCCAGGCATCGGGACCATCTTGGAGGGTGAAAGAAGGGGTCTGCAACAGGGGGTCTTCAATGGGGGCTGAATGGCCCATGTATGCTCAATGTATCCCTCATGTATGTGATCGGGTACGATTGGCATCCAATGTTGGCGGTCATGGAGGGCCAGTCGTTCGTGCCCGCGCGTTGCCCGCGCGGGCGCACGCGCCGTCCATCCATTATCATTCATGCGTGCGGGCGTTCTTGCATATTGCGCGTGGGGCGGCGAAGTGGAGTGCAAGTGTGTCTTGATTGTGCGATTGATGATCGCGTATGTTCCTAACAGATGACGTATCGACCCCCAAGACTGACTCGGAATGGGTCCCGCGATTTTCTCAAAATGTGAAGCCACATTTTCCTTTTTCCATCATGTGAAACCGCAATTCCTTTTTCCCAAAATGTGGATTCACATGGCCCCTTTTAATAAAGATTCCTATACAAAACTCCTAAATGTGAATTCATATTTGCAATTTTTCCTAACTGTGAATTCACATTTTCCTATTTCCCAAAATGTGAATTCACATCTTGCTTTTCCCTACAATGTGAATTCACATTTTGCCCTGGCCTTCAAGATCCCCAAAACTGAGGTGCAGTGTTCCGCATGTAAGATTGGCTGGGCAGATTTTGACACTCACCTCACCGCTTTCGCTTATTCCAACCTTTCCTTTTTGCGCCCTCAGCATACGTTGCCTTCGTCGACTTTCCCGAGCCCCCCGCCCCCTTGCTTCGTTTCGCCTCAAGTCTCGCGCATGGGTGCAGGCGGGGAGCTTCAAGTGGTTCCCCCGCCGAACACAGCAAACGAAGATGTATCGCCCATTCATGGCCCAGAAAGACACCATGGCCGGGACCCTGCGCCCAACCCCCACTTCCACCCTCTGAATCACAACAGACGACTCGGGATGACAGACCGGTCCCAGGGAAGCGGTCGAGAGATCGAGGGCCCGCGTCTCGAAAAACTCGGAACGCCGGATGTTTGGGTATGTGGCAACTCATCGGAGCCTCCCATATAAAACAGGGCTAGGATCGGGATAAATCGCTCCAGAGCGTTCCGGAGCGCTCTCAGAGCGTTCCGGAACGCTCTGGAGCGGCCGCGGCGCCCAACACATCCTCCAAACCCGCCGATTCTCAGAGATTTCGAGCTATCCCGATCCGATTTTGCCCCGATCTTCGCGTCGTTTTATGTTTGGGTATGTGGCAACTCATCGGAGCCTCCCATCCCGGGCGCCCGAGGACCGGGCCGCTCCCTTCTGGGGCCGGCCTCTCGTCCCGAGGCCTTCTTTAAGACGCTCCACAGGCCCGGCGAGGAGGGCCCCCGGAAGGCCGCGAACGTACAAAAGAGCCGCCCGCTCCAACATGTTCGGGGCGTCGGGTCTCTACAGTCGGGGCGTTGGCCTAAGGAACCCTAAAGAAGGAACGAGGCCCATTTTTTCCATAAGCTGAACTTCGATTTCCCATCGAAAACATAAGGGAAAGCCTGAGGCAAGCTGCGAAGCACGTAAGGAACGCGGAGCCCCTCCCCAACGAAAAGGGTTCCTTCTTCAGCGCCCCGACTGTAGGGTGCCTCCCAGCTGAGCAGCGATCAAACACGGGGCTTACGCGAGGTATCGTGGGGACCTCACGCGGTGGCTCACGCGGGCCGTCGGCGCGGTGCGCCACAGTAAAAACGGGGGCGCTCACGCGCGGCCTTGCGCGAGCAGCTTGCGCGCCAATGTCGGCGCAGACGACCCCGTTTTGTGCCACACTGACACTCAGCTGGTTCCAGGGTCTGAGACTCCCCCAGCGCGAGGCGGCGCGAGGCGGCGGTGGGCAGCTCATGAGCATCGTTTATCCGACCCCCATCCCCAGCGGCGTGGCCTTGGGCCCACTGGCCGATTTACTCCCCTGGATGGGGAGATGGGCCGTCCCCTTCGGGCCTCGAGGGGTGCATCCCCAACTGGGGTGGTAATTTGGTGGGGGTCTCGGAGGGGCTGAGGGTGGGGATGGGGGTCGGCTAAACGATGCTGAGCGTAGGCGGCGGGCAGCTGACGCGCCAATGCTGGCGCAGCCGAACCCGTGTTCGTTCCTTGCTCAGCTGGCTCGATCGATCCCCAGCAAAGGTCTCAACCCTTCCCCCGGGGACCGCACTTTTCCATCCGGAGTCGATCTCTTAGACACGCGCGCTCCACGACTCGCAAAGTAACTCCTCGCAAATGGCCTGGATCCGCCAGTTTGCGAGCAGGCACTTTGCGAGCAGTGGAACGCGCTCGGTGATTTTCGACGGTCCCGAGGCCCGGCAAGGACCCCTGGAGGCCGAAGATAGTGAAAAACCTCGCGCTGTGTTTGTTTCGACTCGAGGGGGTCTGAGCAGCTGGAGCATGTTTTTTGTAGACTCTGGCAAATTTACTTGCATGGACGGGGGGGGGCTGAACCTGAAGCAAGCCGCCAACGACCTGCGCGCGCGGAAATCACGCAAGTCGAAAGGCATCTGCACGCCTGTACTCGTTTGAATAGGGTCCAGGGAGGAGTGGGGGCGGGGGGGGGGGGGGGGCGAACGCCATGCAAGTAAACTCGCCCGAATCAGGGGAAACCAAAATCGAACCAATACCGCTACTCCCCGGACCTCTCTCCCAGTCGGCGGTGGACAAACCTCCCTTTGGTAAACCTCCCCTTAGTGAAAGCGGCCTGGGACCGAAACCGACGGACCTAGACCCCCAAAAATGACGGCCGCGACGCCCTCTCGCGAACCGAAAACGGCCAATTTCTTAATCGAAGTGTCAGGGTAATTAGGAGGTCTATCCACCTCCGACCCAAGATGCGTTTGGACCGGGGCCCGAGACTCCCCCGCAACACCGTGGCGAAACGGGCGGCATGCTGGGGGCCCAGCCTTCGGCGGGGCCGGCGCGCCGCCGGCCCCCGGCGGCGGCACCTCCCCCCGGGGGGGCCACTTCGCCGCCCCGCCTCTGGCCTCCCGCTGCAGCGGCACTGGGTTTAACGGGCGAAGAACAGTATAAAATAAACTTTTTCGCTGTCAGGGGGCGCCTGTCCTTGGGCGGCTGGAAAGTTTATACCCTTACGGTGGCACCGTAGGGGCACCGTAGGGGTATAAACTTTCCAGCCGCCCAGGGACAGGCGCCCCCGACAGCGAAAAAGTTTATTTCATACCGTGCGCTCGCTGATGGGTGGGCTTGTTTTCCACCACCACCGCTCCAGACAGGATGGCGTCGTGACAAAATCAGCACGGGCGGTAGTTCGCTGTTTCCGGTCCCTGAGGGCCCTCGCCGGTCACCGGGACCGTCCAAAACGGTTCACGATGAAAAACCGGCCCCGGGGAAAGGGTCTGGACTTCCAGGGACGCCGTCCTGAAAGAATCAGGACGTCGTATGTCTGGGACCACAAGTAGGAGGGGCACGGGGACTTCCTTCTCATTCTCTTCTTCTTCCTCCTCCTCCTCCTCCTTCCCCCCTCCAACTTAGGGTGGTGGTGGTGGAAAACAGGCCCATCAGCACTGGCTGCAATGAGCCTGTCTTTTCTAGATTCAGGCAAGTTTAGTCGCATGGCGTTCGCCCCCCCTCCGCTCTCGCCCCTCTTTAAACGAGTACTGGCGTGTGCAATTGTCTTTCGATTTGAGTGATTTTCGCACGCGCAAGTCGTTTGCGGCGTGCTTCAGGTTCAGGCCCCCCCGTCCATGCAAGTAAACGTGCCGGAGTCAAAAAAGCAAGCTCAATGCTACGTGCTCGACCAGGGGCAGAAGAACATCCCTGAGAGCAGGAGACCCTCCGCTGGCCAAAAGCACACCAGGCCAGAAGAACACCGAGGGTACCCTTCCCCAGGGTGCACAAGAACATACTTAAGGGGCCCAAGGACACACAGAGAAATACACACAAATACCAGGACTCCCAATATTGTTCCATATTTTCTGGATGTTTGTCTTCTCCCCCACTTCCCATATTTTCCTATATTTCCTGGGGAATCGACGATTGATTGTGTCTCTGTTTTTTCCCTCCTGACATACGACAAGCACGAAGAACACGAAGCCCCCTGAGATCTCGGCGTCTCAAATTTTCGAGCCGGGCGTCTTTACATGGCCTCGGGCCCTGGGACCCTCACATATTAAGGGGCCCCAGGACACACAAATACATACACACACAAATATCAGGATTCCCCATATCGTCCCATATGTTCTGGGTTCCTATCTCCCCCCCCCACTTCCCATGGTTTCCTCTATTTCCTGGGGAATCGACGATGAATTGTGTCTGTGTGCTTCTTCCCCTACTGGACATGTCGAGCCGGCTCGAGAAAGGGCGCAGAGAGAGGTCGGGTCTGGGGCTCCGGCCGTGACTTCCTATGATTCGGGGACGGGCAGACCCCCCTTTAGTAAAACGAAGGATTGCAAAAAAACCAAGGATTGCAAAAAAAACAAGGGTTGTAAAAAAACCAAGGGTTTTTGTTGCAATCCTTCGTTGCAATCCTGGGTTTTTTTGCAATCTTTGGTTTAGTGAAAACGACCTGAGGCCCAAACCTGGCGGGCGCAAGCCTGGAAAATGACGGCCGCGGCGCCCTCTCGAGAACCGAAAACGGACAATTCACTAGACGACGTGTCACTGTTGGGGGTTCTGTCCACCCCCGAATGATGTTTCGATTCTTGGTCGCGCCGTCGGATCTCAGGGCTTGCGTGTTCGACCATGGACCCCGGGCTACCCCTCGCTCCCGGGCCGTCTTCGGCGTTTTTCGGCGGTCTTCGGACGGTTCAGCCAGGCCTTGCAGAATCCTGCAAGATCCTGCAAGACCCTGCACCCAAACCCGGGCTCACGCGAAGGACCCTGCAAGATCCTGCAGGATCCTGCGCCCAAACCCGGGTCAATGGGAGCCTGGCTCTGCAGGATCCTGCAAGATCTGGCGCTCTGGCTGACCCCCGTTTGCATTGACCCCCGTCTCAAGGCTCCCGAACGGTGTTCGGCGGTTTCCGCCGGTTTGGCTGTTTCCAAACGTCCTTCGGCGCGAAAGCTTGATGGCTGCGTTCAAAAGGTGGTCCATGAGCGAACACCTCAGCACTGTGAAGCCCAGACATGCTCGCGTCGTGACAAACATCACGCATCACGGCGCGAAAATCTTGCCCGTTTTCGGCTTGGGGAAGCCCTGTCTGGGCTCACGGGACCGTCAAAACACGACTCGGGATGAGAAGCTGGTCCCGAAAACTGGTCTAGAACTCAAGGGGTCTGCGGGAGCACAGAAAACACGCGGTTGCACACTCGAACCGCTCAAGCGGGGACCCCCATCCAGCAACAAACGCCCTTATAGTCCCCGAGGAACTCCAGCCCGAGAAGTCTAAGAAATCTAAGGGCCGCATAAACATGCATGGGTGCTAGTTGTGGGGAAGCTGAAAAGCACCGATGCCGCTACTCCTAGGACCTCTCCCGGGGTGCGTTCTGACCAAGATCTCGAGGTGAATCCAGCGGTGGCGACCAGGGCCTGGGGGCCGAAAAAGGGGGAAAACGGGCGAGGGGCAGCGTATGGGTACCTTTTCCTCCTGTGAATTGCTAGTTATCAGCTCGTGGCTGGTGGCGCTGTGAAGCGTGTCGGCCCGACCTCCTCTCGTTGTGGAAAAATACGACGCGACGTCTTCGGCAACTTCCTCGGCCTCCGGGAACCCTGGCTGGACCCAAAGGACCATCAAACAACGGCGCAGGAAGAGAAAAGCCTGCCCCAGGGAAGGAGGAGCAGGGGGAGGAGGCCGAGGAGGAGGAGGAGGAGGAGGAGGAGGAGGAGGAGGAAGGAGGAGGAGGAGGAGGAGGCC